CAGGTGATGTTACCAGAGAGAAGGAGTCTTTCTGAAAGAACAGAGTCAGGGAGCAATTTGGGGCTCCTGTCAATGATGAACACTTAAGGAATGAAGCAGCAGGAGGATTGATAGGGTCAGATTAGGTAGGGCTTTGTGGACTATGGTGAAGACATTGATCTTATGTTTTAGCAAAATGGGTACACTGTGGAGCTTGGGATCCTTAGGGGTTGTGGAGGCTTGAATATGCTTGGCCCAAGGAGTGGCATTATTAGGAGGGAAGGTGTGAACTCACTGGAGGATGTATGCCACTATAAGCATGAGCTTAATGACCCTCCTCCTAGCTGCCTGGAAGATAGCCTTCTCCTGGCTGCCTTTGGATCAAGATGTAGAATTCTTGGCTCCTTCAGCACCGTGTCTTCATGGATATTGCTATGCTTCCTGCCATGATAACCATGGACTGAAGCACATCTCCCTTTAACTCTCCTAACTGTTAGTGCAGAAGACAGATGGATCACAAAGGATGACAGTTGACTATTGGAAACTAAATCAAGTAGTAATTCTGACTGGATCTACTGTGCTTACTTGAGCAAATTAACACATCTCCTGGTACCTGGTATGTAACTATTGATCTAGAAAATGCCTTATTCTCAGTATCTCTCCATCAGGACCACCAGAAGCAATTTGCTTTCAGCTGGCAAGGCCAGCAGTATACATCTACAGTATTTCCTCAAGGGTATATTAACTCCCCTGCCCTGTGTCATAACTTAAATAGAAGGGATCTTGATCGTCTGTCTCTTCCACAAAATATCACAATTTTGCACTATATTGGTGATATTGGACCAAGTGAGAAGAAATAGCAACCAATTGGAACTCCTTGTAAACACACATGCATATCGGAGGACAGGAAATTAATCCAACCAAAATTCAAGGACTGTTTACCTCAGTGAAATTCTTATGAGTCCAATGGTGTGAGGCATGCAGAGATATTCCCTGTAAGGTGAAAAATATGTTAATGTACCTGCCCCTACCTCCACAAAGAAAGAAGCACAACATTTAATGGGTCTATTTGGATTCTGAAGACTTCACATTTCTCACTTGGATGTGTTACTCAGGCCCATATACCAAGAGACTCAGAAAGTCACTGGCTTTATGTGAGGCCTGGAAAGGAGAAGGCTCTTCATCAGGTACAGATCACTGTACTGGTTGCTGTAGCACTTGGACCATATGATACAGCAGACCCTATGGTACTTGAGTTGTCAGTAGCAGAAGAGACCTTTAGGATTTTGGAACAAAGCTCTAACATCAACTGCAGGCAACTATTCTCTGAATAACAGCTCTCAACCTACTATTGAGCCTTAGTGGAAACTGAACAGTTGACAATAGGACATCAATTTACCATGCAATCTAAACTGCCCACCATGAGCTGGGTGTTACAGCTCAAAAAGTCACAAAGTAGGATGGACATGACAGCAATCCTCTATCAAATGGAAGTGGTATTTATGCAATCGGGCCCAAGCAGGTCCTGAAGGCACATCAAGTTACATGAAGCAGGTGCCCAAATGCCTATTGTTTCAACTCCTATTACAATGACATCCGCTGCTAAGCATGCATCTGTAGCCTTATGGGGTGTTTCCCCATAAACGAGGAAGTGAAGACTATGATCTATTTTCCTGGGGGTTCTACAGATTATGCAGGCACCACCCAGAAGTGGACAGCTACAGTATTACAATCCTTTTCTGTTACAACCCTGAAAGATATTGGTGAAGGGAAATCTTCACAGTGGGTAGAACTTCAGGCAATACACATGGTATTACATTTTGCTTGGAAGAAGAGATGGCCAGATGTTCAATTGTGTACTACCTCATGGGCTGTAGCCAATGGATTGACTAGATGGTCAGGGTCTTGGAGAAAGCACAATTGGAAAATTGTCGAGAAAGACATCTGGGGAAGAAGTATGTGAATAAATCTGTCTAAATTGGCAAAAGATGTAAAGATATTTATATACCATGTAAATGCTCATCAAAAGGTGACTTCAGCTAAGGTTGAGTTCAATAATCAAGTAGATAAGGTGACCTGTTCTGTGGACAGTCAGCCTCTTTCCCCAGTCATCTCTTTCATTGCATCATGGGAATGTGAACAAAGCGGCCATCATGGCAGAGATGGAGGTTATGCTTGAGCTCAACAAAATGGACTTCCACTCACCAAGGCTGGAATGGATATAGCTGCTGCTGAATGCAAGATCTGCCAACATCAGAGACCAACACTGAGCCTCAGATATGGCACCATTTCTTGTGGTGACCAGCCAGTGACCTGGTGGCATGTTGACTACAATGGACTACTTCCTCCATGGACAGGACAATATGTTGTTCTTATGGGAGTAGATAGTTATTCTGGTTATTGATTTGCCTTTCTTGCATGCAATGCTCCCACCAAAACCCCTGGAGCATTATATAATGTGTTTCAGTGACTGCTCTGACACAAGTTGTGGTGAAACTGTTTTTACAGATGTTAGAAGATAAGTAGGGAAAACGGATAGGGGCTTGCAGAGGAAGGTGCATACCGTTTTAAGGTAACCTTAACCATAACTTTTAAAGTATGATTACTTATGAGAGTGAATATATGTATTATGTGTATGTGAATATATTTCTAATTGTGTTCACCCACCTGTTCATGGGGGGAGGGGGGCAGAGGTCAGAGGTGAGGAAAGGTCCCTCCCTGAAATTGAAACGAAAGTCCCAGCAGTCCTTCTGTTTTCACTGTACACTTTGATGTTGTGTCATCAGCACATACGAAGTCCCCAGCTTGATACATCAGTGCTAGGTTCCAAACTCTGGTCATCATGACTGTGTTGCACCTGCTCCTAACTGCTGAGCCCCTATTATAACTTTTAAATATAATATCTATGTATGTATCAATGTATCTATCTACCTATCATGTATCTTTATCATTCTATGTGTCATCTATCAACCATCGGTCATCTACAATGATTTCTATATTTCAGTTTACCTACCATCTACATATTTATCCATCCATTCATCTATGTTTTATCTATATCTACATATTTATGTGTCTATCATCTATCACCTATCATCTGTTGGTCTATCTATTATCTATCATCAATGTATTTAGTGATTGATTAACTTGTCTATGTATCTCCTATCATTTATCTGTCTATGTATCAATCATTTATCTAGCATCTACCTATCTATCTATTATCTATCTATCTATCGTCTACTTCTATCTATCTGCATATCTAGGAATTTCTTTATTTCCCTCTCTATCTCATCTATGTATCTATCTATAAATTCATCCATTTATCCATTTATCCATCCATTCATCTGTCTCTAACTATGTATCTCTCTATGTACCTATACACACACACACACACACACACAGTCACCTATCTATGTATCTATGTTCATATCTATATATCTATCTATCATCTATCATCTATGTATACGATCATCATAGATGATACATCTATCATCATCATTGTCTGTATGTCTTTGTGTGTGTGTGTGTGTGTGTGTGTGTGTGTGTGCACGCATGTGCGTCCATGTATAAGTGCATACATGCATACTTGGTTTCTGAGGAAGGCAAAAGAGAACTCAAATACCATGAAGCAGACAATTACAGGCAGTCATTAGCTATATGACATGAGAGGCAGACTCAATTCAGGTACCCTTCACTACCAACAGTGTCCCAGCCACTGAGCCACCTCTCTAGCCCTAACTATAAGTTTTGAGGGAAGACATTGTTGAAGTGGGTCATCACCCAAAAAAGCGCAGCTCAGTGTATCTTCAAAATGAGCACAGGCTTATCATCCAGATGCAGATCAGTTATCATGAAGACTGGTTCCTGTCTTACACCCTTGCAGTCACTACTTCCCACCATTCTGACAAGTGCAGTGACTGTACTTGTGTTTGAACATCACTGAGATACAGCAGATGTGAACAAAACCTGCTTCTGTGCTAACATTTAGTCAGAAAGTTTCATTCAGAACACTGATTGAATATCTGAGGATTGTTAGTTCACAGTCACATAAGATTTGATGATATGACTCCATCTAAACCATAAATGCATCTAAACCAAACATATGTATAGTCTTGTTTTTCATAGAATTATTCCCTAAATAACACTGGGTACTGGTCATTTCCATAGCATCTAGTTTCTCTTAGCAGCATGGAAATCTAGAGTGTCTTAAAGGTCACAAGATGATGAGGGTAGGTTATTTGTAAGCATGCACCATTCTATTTAAGGGCTTTCAGCACTGGAAGGTTTTGATATTCCAGGAACCAATTCCCTGGAAATGCCCAGAGATGGTTGTACTACCAGGTTGTTTCCCAATGGTCTGTACTATAGTCATCAATGACAGTCAGTACCACCCCCATGGGGTCATACATTTCCCTTCCCAAGTAATCAAGTGGGTGGGACAGGGCCATTCTCTCTGACTATTGTAAGGAAGCATTGGTCAGGTAAAGCTGGGTCACAGAAAGGATGATTTCTAGATGAGATGCCAGGAGCTGCTGGCCAGACTGAAGGACATGGGCATGGCTTTATATGTGTATCTGCACCCATATCTATCTATCTATCTCTATCTCCATCTCCATCCTCATCCCATATTTATTCCTATCCTTATCCCTACCCATACCCCTATCTATCTATCCATCTACATAACCATGTAAATATTTTTGGAGATAAAGTCATATGTGACCCAGACTGGCCTTCAACTAGATGTATAGCCAAGTATGATTACTGATTTTCTGGCCTCTATATCTCCAGTGCCAGGATTATAAGCATGTGTTGCTCCCTTACTCTACAGTACTGGTGCACTGATTGGGACATCCTATTAATCAAAAAAGACCCAGTGGTGAAATAACCCATCAACGCTTAGGTCCTCAGATGGGGAAGGGTGCCTAGGGCAGGTGGTGGCTATTTACCAATCTGTTCCTAAGTGGTTTTATAAGAACAATTTTTGTGCTGGATAATCACAACCTTCATACCTTTATGCTTGGCAGCTTCATGACAAACATGGAGATGTGTTCATGGTACATTTGGGACCGAGACCTGTGGTCATGCTGTATGGGACACAGACCATAAGGGAGGCCCTGGTGGACCACGCTGAGGCTTTCTCTGACAGAGGAACATTTGCTGTGCTTCAGCAAATTATGCAGGAATATGGTGAGATATGGGACAAGTGTGGAGTGGAGGAAGTGGGCTAAAAATAGAGCTTGAAAGGTGAGATCCAAGCTTTGGGGAAGACTGAGAATTCTTTGAACTTCCAATGTAATCTACCCACCTACGCTCCTCCAACCTTCTTAGATGTGTTCTTTGCTAATGGGGAAAGCTGTTGAGGGAGATATTTAAAACAGCAGCACCCAATCTGTCTTGTGTTACAGTGCCGCCATGTTCCTGACTAGGCTAGACCTGAGGCCACAAGAGATGGCAGTGTGTTCTCACGGCTGCCGCAGCTCAGGCCTCTGGCTTAGGTGGGCCAGAACACTGGCCCTGGCACCCACAAGATGCCAGTGTGGGAGATGGCTCTGCCAATCTTCCAAGCTGTCTCCACAAGGCTGGGCTGAGCCCAGACCATCCCACCATCCACGCGGTACCCAGTAGAAATGAGACTCTAATGCTTAGATTATCCAAAAGCTTTATAAGTTTGATAATGCTCAATAAACAAGATGCCCACACAATTGGAAGTGTTAAACAAGATATAAATTGATACCCAGGACTGCTCTTGACCTGTGTGGTCATCCATGGCTCATACATCTCTGCTCCTCCCTAGCTCCTCCTCTTCCTTCTCTTCTTCCTCTTCTTACTCCTCATCTTCCTCTTCTTACTCCTCCCACCTTAGCTCCTCCCAACTTGCTGGAAAAATACGACACTACAGAAAACTGGAAGACTTTTCGACGATTCTTTCTGGCCACCATGAGAGACATCGGGATGGGAAAGCAGAGCGTGGAGGAGCGGATAAAGGAGGAGGCCCTATGTTTAGTGGAGGAACTGAAGAAATGCCAGGGTGAGTTCCATAGAATGGGCATGAGTGCCCAGCCAACAACAGAGAGACACACGCTCAAAGTTAGAAACACATACACACACACACACACACACACACACACACAGTGTGGGGAGTATGACATATAGACAGAGGTGGAAAGAGTGAGGAAAAATTCCAGGGCAGAGAAAGAAATATGAGGTCTATTGTGTTCAAAATAGACTCAAAACATGTCCTGATCATGGTGATCACTTCTGTTCAGGGACATCAATTTTTGAATTAGTTTTATTTGTCAAAAAGGCATGATTGGTACACACATGTCATCTTAGAACACAGAAGGCTGTGATTGTGCTGATGAGCATCAGGGAGCACAGAGGCTGATGGGAGTTGTAGTTTGATATAACTCAGAAGGACTACTGGGTCCTTCATGATTCATTATAACAAGGGCATCTCAGTGACATGGACCTTGATTTGCAGTTACATTTCTCTACAACAGGCATTTGACATCTCTTATTGACATTTACCAGAAGAGCTGAGATGATGTCAATGCAGAAGTGGGAAAGGAAGAAAGGTGCAGAGAGTGGGAAGAATGGCTGGAGAAAAGTCATAGAGATCAAGGACCCAAACAAAGACAAGTTAAAAGTCTGAGAATGAAACTGACTAATCACAAGGAAGGCTCTACAGGGAATCAGAGATTATAGACAAGCCAGCTCCAGGGAGAGGAAAACAAGGGCTGAATACTGTTGACAGACAAGAACCCTTCAACCACCAGGGTCAATGACTGAACCTGGCGTACAAAGACAGCAGGCAGCAGTTCCAGATGGTTTCTGAAACACCACAGAACCTAGAAATCTGAGAAAGGATGGAGAAAGACTGGCAGAGGGGAATGGAGTGTGCAGAACTTGTGAATACACACAGGCAATCCCTGAACCTTTCTCTTCTGTTTCCTGCCACCAGGAGTTAACTATCAGCTCAGAGTCAGAATGATAACTAGGGAGAAGGTTCAGAATGGAGACTAATTATACACACTTTACCTCTGAGTCCCAAAATTCTGAGTCCCAGTCATGATTAGTTGAGTTCCATTAGTGAAGTTAGCTTTCCTGCCTGTGTGTATGAATAGCATCAAACCTTCTGTACAGCATTGGGAAAAGTAAAATAAAATGACACAAATGAGTGTAGGGGCTTGCCCATCATATATGCCAATGGGGTATCAGGTGTTTCTCTTCTTTGAGTAGTGAAAAAGGCAGCCTCATAGACGTGTGGCTGATGCCTAATGTTCCCCAGGTCCCTGGACTCATGTCTCCTATCCTGCCTCCTCATCCTCCAGGAGCCCCTCTGGACCCCTCGTTCCATTTCCAGTGCATCACAGCCAACATCATCTGCTCCATTGTCTTTGGAGAGCGATTTGACTACACAGACCGCCAGTTCCTGCACCTGCTAGACCTGTTATATCAGACTTTTTCGCTCATAAGCTCATTCTCCAGCCAGGTGAATGGGTGGGAAAAGAGGAATATCCACAGTAGAGGAAGCAGGAAGCTACTTTAGGGGTGAAGACAAGGTGTCTTAGGTCTGAAAGAACAGCAGGGACATCATGAAGAGGCAAGGAGGCTGAGAACTGGAGGCAGGGCAGGAGGGATGATGAGGAAAGTGGAGAGACCTAAATGTAGAAATACAGAGCCATACACATGCATATGAAATGATGAAATGGGTGATGGGAGTATAGCCAGAGGGTTGGTTTTCATGCATGAGTCCTAGCTCTTTATATCCTGGGTGAGATGGTAAAAAACAAAGGCAATTCCAGCACATGAAGGCAAGGAGATAAGAAAGTCAAGGTGATCCTTGGTGAGTTGCAGAGGTGTCTGGCAGGCATGAGACACTCTGTGTATAAAACAAAACTTCAGAAATTCAAACAAATGAAGACAATTCACCAAAGTAGATTGAGAGAGAGAGAATAGGAAAGGAAAAGTGGGATACAGAGCATGCAAGACAAAAACAAATGTGAGAGAAGGATTCAGAGCTACAGTCAATAGCACGCATGTGTATAGTGTACATATATGAGGAGTGTGTTTGTGTGTGTTTGTGTGTGTGTGCCTTCCTGCACATTCATGCCTCTGTCTTTGTGTGTGTGTGTGTGTGTGTGTGTGTGTGTGTGTGTTGTGTGTTTCATCATAAAATATGAAGACCTAGTATAAGGAATAGTGGCCCCTTGAAGTTGCACAGGTCACAGCCAGACACCAAGTTCTTGGCAGAAAGGAGAATTATTACCTAAAAAAGGCAAGCAGTAGGATAGGCTGCAAAGGCAGAAAGAAGTAGTAATAGTAATAGCAGCAGCAACAGCAGCAGCAACATCAACAAGACAACAAGGAGGTGTTTCTGCAGGAATCAGGTTTTTGGGGGGAGGAAAGGGAGAGTTTGTGCTAGAGTGAGTTGGTAAATTCTGTCTGCACATATTATCCAAATAATGAATTTTGATTGTTGGATCGTGCTGTTCTGTCGCAGGAATGAATCAAGGGCCAAATGAGGGAATGGACCTTGGGAACTGGCTTTAGATATACAATTTAATGGTTTAGCAAGGGGACAAGTGTCAAAGACAAAAGTCGATGACACCATGTTTGCCATTTTGTAATTTTGCCATTCCTGGGCCTGTCAGAGCCATTTATTCTCACCGCTTGGTTTTCTTATTGGTCCACTGGCTATAGGGTACGAGGGTAGGTGTCATTCTCTCTGGGTCATTCCTGATGACAAATAGGACATCACTGTTAGGTAATCAAAGGAAGATGACATGTGGTCAGTGTTGGGAAGTGCAGGCTATTTTATTTGTTGTACAGGCTTTGTGAGACCTTCTAAGGTTAAGGGCATGCAGTCTGTAAGGCTGGACCGTTTGGGGCTGGCAGGTTGCTGGAGCAGTCTGAAGGAGATTTGCAATCTGTTGGGACAGATAGACTCGAGACAGACATAAAGTTAAGGAAATTTTATTTTTAAATTTTACTATTTTTGTTTATTTACCTTTGTTGTGCATTTGAAACATTCAGGTTTATAATCCTGGTAGTTAGGGAAACAGAGTCCAGAGACAAGGGAGATGGGGCAAGATCCCACCTTCAGGAATAGACAAGTGTGTCCTTGTTGGAGAAAATGTGCTGTTGGTTTGAGGTTTTAGAAGATCATGTAAGGCCCAGTGTTCTTCCTTATTCTTCCCTGCCTGCCTGTTTATCAGGAGGTAAGCCTACAGCCCTGTATCTGCCTGTCCTCCTTGTGTGCTTCCTACCATGATGTTAATGAAATAACCTGAAACCATAGGCAAACTCACAATTAAATCCTTCTTTTGTAAGAGTTATTTTGGTCATGCTGTCTCCTATAGTATTAGAGCAGTGACTTAGATAGGGCACGGTCTTGGGAACCTGAAAACTTCAGGTGACCTCCTAGACCTTTCTTTCTAACAGGTGTTTGAGCTCTTCTCTGGCTTCCTGAAGTACTTTCCTGGTGCCCACAGACAAATCTCCAAAAACCTGAAGGAAATCCTTGTCTACATTGGCCATAGTGTGGAGCAGCACAGGGCCACCTTGGACCCCAGCGCTCCACGAGACTTCATCGATTCCTACCTTCTGCGCATAGAGAAGGTTAGTCCTGCATGGAGAAGAGAGGGGTGGGTGAGAGTGAAGGATGGGGATGTGGTCAGAGAGAAAGATGGGAGGGGACACCGGATGGTGAGGAGAGGCAGAATGTCTAGAAAAGGAAGAACAGATTAAGGAAGGGGAAATGACATGGGGAGGAGAAAAGGGGTATACCTGGGGAAGAAACACAAGGCAAAAGGCAAAGCACAGAAAGATCACAGAGGAAGAAAGGATCTGGGAGACAGAACATGATAAACCACCAAAGAGCAAAGTAGAGAGAGGACAGAAGCCAAGGTACATTGTCTAGGGCCTAGTAATGTCCAGAGGTCTATTTAGTATGAGATTCAAAACCAGAAGCACAGTGCCCAGAGATGACTGCTTCTCATTGCAAAGATCCAGCCACCCCTGATCTATCATTCTCTCTCCCATCTGGAACCAGGAGAAGTTGAACCACTACACGCAGTTCCAACACCAGAACCTCATGATAACTGCGCTGTCTCTCTTCCTTGCCGGCACTGAATCCACAAGCATCACTCTCTGCTATGGCTTCTTGCTCATGCTCAAGTACCCTCATGTTGCAGGTGCGCCATGGGGGAATTTTCTAGTATACTTTGTCTGCAGGGGTTTGTGTGGTTGAATGAGACATGGGCCACATACATCTGGAGTTCTGAAGTATTTGTTCTACTTCTAAACCAAGGCAGTTCTGTCTTGGTGTGTGAATGAACACTCAGGGACCCACATGAATATCAAGCTGTTCATATGTGTGGAGATCCCAGGTCCAGGCAGTTCTTGTATTTTGGTTGATGATTCAGGCTCTGAGAACTCCCAAGGGTCTAGGTTAGTTAACTCTGTTGGTCTTCCTGTGGAGACCCTGTCCTCTTCCGATCCCTTAAGCCTCTCAACTCTTCCACAAGACTCTGAACTCCATCTAATGTTTGACTGTGGGTTTCTGTGTCTCTTTGTTTTGGCTGCTGGGTGGAGCCTCTCAGAGAAGAGTTATGCTAGGTTCCTGCCTGCGAGCATTATAGAGTATCATTAAGAGCATCAGAGATTGGTTCTTGCTGTGGGATGGGTCTCAATTTGGAGTAGTCATTGGTTAGCCATTCCCTCAGTCTCTGCTCTGTCCTTGATCCTGTCCTTCATGTAGGCAAAACACATTTTGCATTGAAGGTTTCGTGGATGGGTTACTATCTCTATCCCTACACTGGAAGTCCTGACTGTCTAGAAGAACCACTTCAGAATCCATTATCTCCCACTGTTAGGACTAGAGTCCCCCCCCACCCTTAGACTCTCTGGGACCTCTCCCCATCCCAGATCTCTAGCACTTCCTAGAGAAGATCTCCACTCTCTCTCCCCTGCTCTCCCTACCTAGGCTCTTTCCTCTCCCCACTCTCCTCCCCATCCCTTCTTCCATCCAGTTCCCTCCTTCCATCAGTCTATGATATCTATTTTGTTTCGTCTTCTGAGAAAGGTTCAAGCATCCTCCATTGTGTCCTCCTTGCTATTTGGCTTCTTGGTATCTGCTGACTACAGCATGATAATTCTGTACATTTTTGCTAATGTCCACTTCTAAGTGAGTACAAACCATGCATGTGCTTTGGGGTCTGGGTTACCTCACTCAGGATGATATTTTTTGGTTCCATTGATTTGCCTGTGAAACTCATGATGTCATTGTTTTTAATTGATGAGTAGTATTCCACTGTGTAAATGAACCACATTTTCTTTATCCATTCTTCAGTTGAGGGATATCTGAGTTGTTTCCAGTTTGTGACTATTACAAACAAAGCTGCTATGAACATAGTTGTGAACATGCTATGAACATTTCCTTGTGGAATGGTGGAGTATCTTTTGAGTATATGCCTCGGAAAAGTATAGCTGGGTCTTGAGGTATAACTGTCCCTAATCATCTGAGAAACCACCAAATTTATTTCCAGAGTGGTTGTACAAGTTTGCACTCCCACCAGTAGTGGAGAAGTGTTCCCCTTGCTCTACAACCTTATCAGCATATACTGTCCCTTGAGTTTTTTTTTTATTTTACCCTTTCTAATGGTTGTAGAGGGGAATCTCAGAGTTGTTACGATTTGCATTTCCCTGATTACTAAGGATGCTGAACATTTCCATAGGAGCTTCTTGTCCATTTGAGATTCCTTCATTGAGAATTCTCTGTTTAGCTCTGTACTTGAGTTTTGAATTGGATTATTTGGTTTGTTTGGGTCTAAGTTCTTGAGTTTTTTATGTATTTTGCATATTAGTCCTCTGTCAGAAGTAGGGTTGGTGAAGATCTTTTCCATTCTGTAGGCTGTTGTTTTGTTCTATTAATCATGTCCTTTGACTTAAAAAAGCTTTTCAGTTTCATGAGTCTTCATTCATGGGAATTGAAGAGATGACTCTGAGGTTAAGAGCATTGGTTGTTCTTCCAGAGATCCTGAGTTCAATTCCCACCAACCATACAGTGGCTCATAAACATCCATCTATAATGTGATCTGGTGCCCTCTTCTGGTGTACAGACTTACACGCAGGCACAAAACTGTATGCATAGTAAAGAATACATATTTCATTAATTTTTTTGGCAATTCATTCACAGGCATACATGGAGGCAGAACATTGTGTACATATTAAATAACATATATTTCATTCATTTATCTGGATTAATCAACTCATGAGTTTTATTCTTTGATCAAAGATAGCTGTGTAGGGAATTTGTCATTGATCCTTTTGTCCATTCAAATACTAATATTTTTTATACTGTAATCTTTCCAACTGTCCTTTGAATATACCCTTCATGTGTCCACCTATTCCTCCGGGTATCCATTTAATAACTCACTCATTTACCTGTGATTTATTTCTCATTCAAAACACCTATATGTTAATGCCTAAATTTACTCAATTATTCCTTCATTAAGTCTAACATTCATCTGACTAGTGCTTAGTTCTGTTCATTATTTTTTGTGTATGAACAATTTATTGATTCTTATTTGATAAACATAAGTAAAAGCGGAAAATATACATCTAGTTTTAGTTTTCTCATTTCCTTCACTCATCAAACTTTCCTTTTATTAACCAGCTCGTCCATTTCTGGGTGTACCTCCATGTTCACATGTTAAAAACTTAAAAACAATTTGAAGTGATTCTGAGCATGCCTGCCATAGCTCATGTGTAGGGATTGGATGAGAACTTTGTGTATTCTGTTCTCTCCTTCCAACTAAAAGATGGATCTGGGGGGTCAAAGTCAGGCTGTCAAACTTACAACTCAAGTTCATTTATTGGTTGAACTATTTCATCAGCCAACTTATTCATACTTTGTATGCAGTTATGAATTATAGACACTTGCTCCCCTTTCATTCCTGAGAGCACAGGATCATATTATTAGCATACATTTAAATTTTTTTTAATTTAATGTGCATTGGTGTTTTGGATGCATATATGTCTGTGTGAGGTTAGAGGATCCTCTGGACCTGGAGTTACAGAGAGTGTGAGGTGAAATGTGGGTACTGGGAATTGAACCTGGGTCCTCTCGAAGAGCAGCCAGTGCTCTAAAGATTGAGTCATCTCTCCAGCCCCCTGGATTTTAACTATGAATTCCCTGCAAAGGAGTGTGTGTGTGTGTGTGTGTGTGTGTGTGTGTGTGTGTGTGTGTAGACCTGTGCTGTGCATGCAGGAATACAATCGATAACATTCATTACATTCTTGCCATTTTCCCTGCAGCCCTCACTCCAGACTGACAGTTAAAATGGCCCATTGCTGGAGGTTTTCCTTTTCTTTTACAAGCAATACTGGAGCTTGTTGAGAAGAGACTCTAACATGCTCTAAGCATGGTTGGAGAGAAAGGCCCTTGAAAGAAACACAGGCATGTGCACCCAAGAGGTCACTGTGTCTTTCTCAGCAGAGTCTTCCTGCTCTGAACTGTTTCTGGGTTATTGGATCCCAGAAAACAGGGTCACTGTGCATTGCCTCCGAGAAGGGGGCACTGTCTATTGTTTCTCTTTTCTGTGCAGAGAAAGTCCAAAAGGAGATAGATCAGGTGATTGGTTCATATCGGATCCCAACCCTTGATGACCGCTCCAAAATGCCATACACTGATGCAGTCATCCACGAGATTCAGAGATTTGCTGATCTTTCCCCAATGGGCTTGCCATGCAGAGTCACCAAAGACACCATGTTCCGAGGGTACCTGCTCCCCAAGGTGAGACCGGCTGTGATTCCTCATCACTTCTCCATGAGCATGCTCTATGCTCCTAATCACCAACCTCATCCTGTCTGTGTTTTCCCTGACTTCTGTTTTACTTATGAACTGACTGTTTTCATATGGGAGTCAGGGTATATTAATATCTTTATCTCATAAATCCTCTTAGAACACCGAGGTGTATCCCATCCTGAGTTCAGCTCTCCATGACCCACAGTACTTTGAACAACCACACACCTTCAATCCCGAGCACTTCCTGGATGCCAATGGGGCACTGAAGAAAAGTGAAGCTTTCATGCCCTTCTCCACAGGTGAGACAGACCTGTGATTCTTTTCCCAGACACTAGAGGGCAGGCCCACCCTTCAGGACACAAATAGCAATAGGACCTGGGTTATTGAGTCTGTCTCAGCTACCTTACGGTTCAACCTGGCTAGAGCCTCATGAGGAGAGTCTTGAGGTAAAGGAGCATCCTGATCGGGATGACTTTGGGGAAGTATTTAAAAGCCTCTAACTAAAGTTGAGCAAATTCATTTTCTTGGTTTTTTTTTTTTAAATTTTATAGTTAGGGGAAAACCTTTTTAAATAAGTGAAAACATTTGTCTTTAATCATGTTTAAATGCTCAACTAAAGAGTATCTTTACAGAGAATAAAATGAGTTCAGTGCAAATTGAAGTTTCAACAACTCTCCAGAAATAAATAACAGATTGATAGTATTCCTTTATCAGAAAGCTCATGATGTCTTTAAAGCCAATTCTGTGGTTCCTATGCAAAATCCTAAAAATAGTAGAAGCTAGCCTCTTCACTTTAGGAGCTGTAATGACCAAACTAACCCATCAATTCTTTTTAGTTGCATCAAAATCAATTGTCCTGCATAGACTTATGTTCATGTTTCCCTATTGTTCCAAATACATTATTTCCTCACACAATATATCCCAGTTGCAGCTTCCCCTTCCATTATCCCTCCTAGTTATTCCCCACCCCCTCTTCATCCATCTGGATCCAGTCCATTTCTGTCTCTCATTAGAATAGAACAGGCTTCTAAGAGATAACAACAAGCCATAATTATGTATGTATGTATGTGTGTATGTATGCATGTATGTATGTATGTATGTATGTGTGTATGTATGTGTATGTATATGTGTATATGTATACACATATACATACACACACATACACACACAGATAGATAGAGAGAGAGAGAGAGAGAGATAGAGATAGAGATAGAGATAGAGATAGAGATAGAGATAGATAAAATGTTAAAACAAATCCCATCACATTGAAGCTGAAAAGGGCAAAGGGCAACCAACAGAAGGAAAAGTTCCCAAGAGAAGACTCAAAAATGAGGGACCCACTCATCTACACACTCAGGAATCCCGTAAAAGCACTAAACTTCAATCTCTATTATATATGAAGTGGACCTGGTGCAGAACCCATACTTGCATCTTTAATTTTATGTGAGCTTTTATGATGTTGATTTAAAGGCCTTATTCTCTTGGTGTCCTACAACTCCTCTGGCTCTCACACTTTCAGACCCCTCTTCCACAGACTTCTGTGAGCTCTGAGGGGAAGGATTTGATGGAGACATCCCCTTTAGACATATGTGTTCCAAGGTCTCTCTTGGTGTGTAATGTCTGGGTGTGGGTCTCTATATTTGTTCCCTTCAGCTTCAGGAGGAAATAGCCATGGGGATGGCTAAATAGAGCAATAATCTATGAGTATACTATCATATTTTTAAGATTAATCTTATTGTTCCTTTGTTGCACCACTTGCACTTGGTTTTATCCTAGGTCTCTGGGCTCTCTATTCCGATTCAATATCAGGTATTCAAGCCAGCCATTGGATGGTTATTCCCATAAGCTTTGTGCCGCCATTGAGCCCAGGATAGCACTATAGACTATTCATCGCTGGCTGGAATTGTACATTTCTGTTTCAATAGCCTGCAGTGTACCTTTCCTATCAAAGACACTAGAGCATGGGGGTGATTGTTTTATGTAATCAGCTTGACCCCTCCATACTCAACAAGTTGTGTGGGTGTTATCTTCAGTAATGGAGCTTTGCTGTCACTTGTAGAGAACAATATATTGTCTTTGCAGCAACCTGGGTTGTTTGGAGATTTCTATGAAACCTCTTTGGCTGCCAATTCAATTGGATGCTACTCAGTCCTAGCACTAGAGGCTTCATTTAGTGTCAAGTGCTGTTTATTTGGAACTATGTCTCCCTCACTATTTGGAGACTTCATCAGGATCACCGTCGTATATTTTAGGAAGTTTCCACTGCACTAGGCTTCTCTCCCACCCCCAAGTACCCCTCAATCCTACCTTCCCACATTTTATCCCTCATATCCATTGTAAGTGTTTCTACTCAGATGGAAGGGTATCCTGTGACTTGGAAGCTGAGGAACCACACAGCTCTGAGAGGAAAGGTATTCCAGTGGAAGGGCATCCTGAGACACATGTGTCCAGGAACCTCACAGCTCTGAGATGAGATAGTATCTAAATGGAAGACTATCCTGAGACATGGGAGCCCAGGACCATTGATGAGAGAAAGCCTCCTCAGCAGAGTTGTTGTAGCTCCCAGGGTAGGGAATCCCCAGCTGAGCTGAGGAGCTGAGGAGCTGAGGAGCTGAGGAGCTGAGGAGCTGA